CCACATACCTAGAGCCGGGATTCGTAGGCTCAGGACCAGGTGAGCACCCCATTTATTGAACACATATCTGTGTCATTTATCACCATAAGTCTACACATTGGTTTGCTTTCTTTCTTTTTTTCGTGTTCCCGAGAAATTCTTCAAGCTGAAGTAGGAGGGTGGTGCTACCATAACAGCACACAAGCCTTTATACGGAGCCAGTGTTTTCTATATACAGGCTCCTTGAAATGTGAGTGTAATATTCAACACGATATTATTATAATCACTATGAAGCCATTTTTTAGTACTGTCTACACTATATTGTATTTTCTGTATTTTATTTTGACATGTACCCCATATTTTACCATTGAATGAGACTACGTTTTGGTAAGATTTATCTGTGTTTGAGCGCTCCACTTATAGGTGTAAGTCCTTGTCACTTACACCGCACCAATATCTACTTAACAGGGGAGTGTCCGTTATAAGCTGATTTGTCTGTGGATTGCACTGGTATATTTCATTCCTGGAGTATTTTCTTGCCGTCATCTGGGGAAAATATGGTCTTGTCTGCTCCATTCCTTTTAACTAATAACTTGGCCGGGAATCCCCATTTATAAGGTATATTAGCCGTCCTCAGTGCTGCTATAATAGGGGCAAAAGTTCTCCTTTTGATCATAGTGGCTGAGGATATATCTATAAACAGCATAATATGCTTGAATGGGCCTGGAGGTAGTGGGTTGTCCCTGGAAGCCTGCATTATCCTGTCTTTGACAGTGAAGTAATGAAACTTAGTGATTACGTCTCTTGGGACTGTGGGACCCAGATGTCTGGGCCAGGGTAATCAGTGCATGCGATCTAGCAAAATGTCCGTTAGGGCCGGTATGTTAAGACCTGAATAGATCCTGTACATAGGCGGTCAACTCAGGTGGCATCATGAATTCTGTGATCCCCCGTATCCACACGTTATTGCGCCTATCTCGATCTTCATGATTGGCGACTTTCTCTTCTAGGGCTTTGAGCTTGTGCTCCAAGGAAGTGTAGGCTTCTTCCAGAGTATTGTGTGCATCTACGATCTCTTCTGTGCATTCCTCTAGGTGTGCCGTCCGGTCGCCCAGGGATTGTATATCCGATCGTATGTCAGATGCTACTTGTAGCATGTCAGTGTGAAAGGTAGACTTCAGGTCTACTAGCATGGCTTGAGCGTTAGTGAGGCATTGTGAGTTCTGAGGCATTGTGTACTCCCTCGCTTAGTTCTGAAAACGAGGCTGACGATCTGGTGCCGTCGGCGCCATCTTGAGCTTCAGGCCCACATTTCTGTGACTGTGTAAGGTGCATTTGGATAGATCGCTGCTTCAATCTTTTGCATGATTTCGATGCCATCGGGGCCACAGGGTGTTTGCCCACTCGTGGTGCTGTAGTTAAGGGTTGTATGCTGTGTTGTCAAGCTGTAAACACCGCAGGTCGGAGGAGCCACACCCCCTATATGTATATATATATTGTGACAGATCCATCTGTATAGACTAAGATTGCTGGATTCGTCTGTTTTGCCTTTTTCACGAATTTACCCGTTCGTATGCCTTTACTTAAGTGAATTGACTTTTCTGCCGAATGAAACTGCCGAACGGATGGCCACCCAGAAGAGAAGTGTGCTGCTGGTTAACCTATTGATCCCAATTAGAACATTGCGGTTAACCACAGACACTTCTCAATTAAAACCGAATACAGGGTGGTCGTTGTTCATATGTCGACCACGAAGCGGCGGCCATTTTAAACCATGCGAAAGACCAGCGGTGTTCGGCATTGATTTCATGGAACTGAAAACGGACACTTTTTCAGCCGAACACCGCTGAAGCCGCCGACCTCCCTTCTCAATCGACAGAAGTTTGCGAACACCGGCCGTTCGGGAGGTTTAAGTGCACGAATGGACTTACCCCAGATAGCCTTCCCATGGAGTCAATCGCATACCGAAGGACTGTAATAGACTGTGGCTCCATGGCGATTGAACTATGCGTATGGGATCTGAGCGCTATTCGCCAATAATATGCACACAGATCCAGGCTATCTGGGGATATGTGATACGAATGGGTAGCATTCGACAAATGTAAAGTTATCTATTTTTATGTGTTTTTATGTGTTGAATTTAAAATGGCGATTTGCCTCTGTCCTGGAGATAATTGAATTACTTCTCAATTATCTCCAGGGCAGAGGGGAGGAATTACTAATGCATGCTGGGAATATTTTGTGTCTGTGTATCTGAACTTGCCATATGTCTATCTGTTGTCACAGTCTCCCATTTGGTCCCCTAAGGGAGTGTCCACCAAGTGGGAGACCTGCATAAACACGGGCAGGTAGCCCACAGTAAAGCCAGTTCTTTACCCCCAATGCGGAGCTTGGTCTCGTTATTGGGGGGATTTATTACCGACGACTAGAGACTGCTGGATGGGATTATTAGCCGCTTGGGAGATACCTGCCTTCGGCTAATATTGGCGATTCATGAGTTTGGAGCTCGTGGAGTGAAGTGCCCGTACGGATCCCGTTCGTGAGTTTACAGCGTTCCCTTGCTTGCGGTTCGTATGATTACACTGGATACGCATGCAGCCTGGGTTATTGCGAACGGGGAGCATTCACTAAACGGCAGTTTGTACATTTCATGCTGAGGGTACCGTAACATATATATATATAAAAATATATATATATATATTTTTTTTTTTTAACATGGCTAACTCATTTCCAAATTTAACTAAATAATTAAAAATATATATGATTTTCTTTTTGTTACTGTTAATATTATTTTCTCATAATCTCCATATGGTGATCTCTGAAAAAAGGTGTCAAAAATTGTTCGCAAACTCAGCTAGAACATTTCTGGGAATGTTTCTGAAACCATTCCGAAGTGAGGTTAATCTTTATCTGGTTACATTTAAATATACTTTCTTCTATACTATCTTCATGTGGCTCTCTGGAATAACATCATAAAAGTGTTTACGTACAAATACTTTCTCCAGCAAACTTTTTGTTTTTTAACTTGAATTAATTATATACTGAAGTTGTCCAAACAATATTATAAATGTGATAGTACTTAGGGCTCTTAAACAAATTATGAAGAGAAAATTTGTTTATTCTTTATTATTTCCAGATTTATTCTTAGTTCATAATGTATTTTATTTTCTTGAGGCACTAGTTGAATCTTAGCAAACAAATATATTTATGCAAATAGTGAACACTAAGTTAACATAGGACAAAATAAACAAAATATATTGCAATTAGATTAATCTGTGGACAAAATAGGCTTGCTACAGTCATTTATGGTTTTATATCTATTGCTATATTTAACTATAAGTAAATCACTGTTTTCCAAAGAGGATATTATCATACTTTTCAACACTAAAGAGAATGAACACAGGATAGGAGGAGGATGGGGGTTGTCATGTGTAGTCGTGTCCTGGAAGGGTTCTTGGACTGAATATAACGAGAACAGCATGTACAGCATTAGCGTATCTAATGGTGTGCTTGCAAAGCTCTTACTGCGGACTTTTCCCCAGAAATGGGACATCAGAGAAGAAATCCAGGACAGCAGGACAGGGACCAAAATTCAGAACTGTTTTGAAGATATGCAATATTGAAACTTGACAGAGATGAGAATTTAAGTAGGGAAAAAATAGTTTTCTTGTACATATTGATACAACTTCAGTCACAGGCTGACTAGTAAACCATTTTGATTAATGGGAAGTATTTGAAAGGGCACACACCTAGTTCCTTTTTACAGCTGTAAGAGTCAGGTACAGGTTCTCTCACTTTATGATTCATTAATTGTTTTCTGGATTTTTTTAAAAAAAAAATTTAAAATGCTTCTAAATTATATATCACCAGACAATTAGAAGATTGGACAGAATTATATAGAAGAAACTTATTTTGATATTTGTTATACTTTAGTGTGCCTCTGCCCTTTGTTTTGTTCAAAGCATTTTAAGCCTCCAATGTCCCTTTTTACCTCGTCTCCTGTAGGGTTAATGTCTACGTAGCTTTGGTTTCATTAGAAATATACACTGTGTCCTTGTGTAGTTCGCCTGAAGCAGAGTTGGCTCTTCCACTAGTATTCCCATGCAATGGCAGACTAATGATTTATAGCTCTGTTTAAGTAAAGGCCACATCGACTACCAGCAAAGCCATTTATCTCCTTCTCATTTCTTAAAGCTGTGGTCCCACTTAGCATTGAATTTTACAAATGGAAAGGATTCAAACATATAAAAAGTCTGTTTATGTTTTACAGAATTTTATATTACCATTAAGTATTAAAATCAAAGATACTGATGATTTGAGTTGAGCGTGACATACTGTAGATAATTGAGAAAAGTGTTAATTTGTTTTTCAGTCGCTTCATTAAGTGATCTATAGAAGGACTAACATCGCTCTTCCCTGTTTTGTAAAGATGTATATCCAGTTTGAGAGATATTTACAACAATAAGGCTCATGATCAAAACGCTTAAGTAGTAGTTGGTGCGTTGGTTGTGGAACTCTGAGAACTCCACACTAGCTATTGCATTATTAATAAAGAGATATTATATATGATATGGCTTAGAACAACAGCTTTTACTAAATTTCAAGACACTGAGAAAATAAAATATAAAATACTGTATATTTAAATAGCATACAAGATCCAGCGCACTCACTCATTCGATAAACAGCAATTTCAGGTCTCACAGAATGTAACATTTTATTTTAAAAAACCTCACCTAGGCAAAAAACCTATGGGGGTTTAGTTACAGTATATGATCATACATTGCATAAGCCTTCCACAACATCAATGTACCCCATTCTTAGCAGGTTCTAATCTAGCCTCCTAATGCCTCTTATGAGATTTATCCATTTACTTGGGAAATGCTTCCTCCTGGGACTCTCTGCAGGTCAAGGCTAAATAGGGCCGTTGAATGAGGCACCTGTGACACTTGAATTTTAGTGAATGAGTGAGTGTGCTTGTATGTTGGACCTTGTATGTTGTATGAATTGGCCCAACCAGCACCCTATAATGTATGCATGTTCAGGTGCAGTCTCTTGATTAAAATATATATATATATACTAATCAAGAGACTGCACCTGAATATGCATACATTATAGATACATGCCTCCTTCCTGTGACTGTCAGTGAGAGGCAGCTATCATAGCTGTCTCCCCTGCAGCATTTTTATTGCACAGCTTGGACCAATAGTACTTTTCCAGTGATTCACCGTCCTCCTGTCCACCTGTCAGAAGGGATACAGCGCACCTTTTACTATTTTAACAGGCGCGCGCTCGGTCCATTTTCTGGTGGTAGCTCCCAGCTACATTGACTGCGTAATCTGGATTCAGCGCGTGCCCATTATTATTTAAACAGGCTCACAGTCCATCCATTATCTGACAGCTTGCGCAGTCAGAATAGGGAGCTCTATACTACTAATCTTTTTTTTATTTTTATTATTCTTTATTTATAAGTCCATGAAGTTATGGTGAAAAACAGCAGAGATAGACAAGTACATACTGTGCTGGTACAGTCTTATAGCCATTAATCATTTGAAACAATGTGTAAGATCACCTACCATCATGTAGGTATTACAATGAGCTAACAGCATTCAACAATACAGTGCAGTGACATTGTCTCCATTAAGAGTGCTACTTACGGTTACAGTGATGTCTCTCCTCTATGTTGTACTACAACAAACTTTATTTTTATAGATTTATTTGTAGAAAGGTAAACAGAGAGATTAGTACAAACAAGGGGAATAGAGGTAGCGTCAAGTAAAAAAACACTAGTATAAATAAGAAAAAATATAATAAAACAGATAGGTAGTAGAATAATAACAATAAAATGTCCAATATAAAGTCCCAATATAAAACTTACCAGAAGATATAGTCTCAGTTTTGTCAGAGAAATTCTTCTATAAAAGAGCCAGATCAGGGTATCCTTTGGAGCCGTGTATAAAAACAGAGAAACATTATTAATGGTGCAATATATCCCAGAGAAAAGTGAGAACAGTAAAATAAGTATTTATGGTCCTACTCACATTTGTTAGAGCTTAAACCCAGCTCTAGTATGAATAGCATACAGTGGTACAATCCCCACTTATAGGATATGTGAGGAGATGTTGATAGACAGGTGTTTCGTCAATATGAAGACTATAACTAGTATAAAAGAGACAACAATAGTATGAAAGGTTGCAGAAGTATAAAATAATAAATGGTTACTCACATTTAATTGAGCAGGCAGACTGCTCAATGTGTAGGCATAAGTGGTATAAACCCCACCTAGGATTCTTTAGGAGTAGTCCTCACTGGAACAGTTAAATTGGATGCCACGTAGAAGGTAAAAATATAAAATAGTAACAAATAAAAAAAGTTAAATCACTCACAATAGGAAGTTGCAAAACTACCTTTATTGATATAAAATAGACAATATAAAATATCCTCAACACTTTTTCAAGTGGACATATAAGAGTCTAAACTGGCAGGTAAGGGTTTTTATAGGCAATGCAGACATTGCCTTTTTAAATTTGGCACCTAAATAACATAATTAAAGTATATATATTGTGATAAAGTGAAGGCAGATAGGCCTATAACATTTAACCCCAGGGGCAGCATGTGTAGTATGTGTTTTAGGCAACACAAACTACCGTTTAGTTATGGACCCCTGGGGTGGTGCATTTGGAGAGCAGGGTGGGCCAATGCTCCACTCCTCAGTTTATACACAACTGGGAGAAATAAGGTCCAGGCCAGAGTTTTTGGGATCTGTCTCCAACCCACTGCTCAGCTGCAGATAATCAGCTGTAGCAGTGGGAATAAACCCCTCCATGCTATGCAGGAAAAGAGGGGGATTGCTGGCTTCCTCCCTGGAAGCAGGTTGGAGAGAGGCTGTTCTCTCCAGTGAGAGAGTCAAGGAGACTGAGCACTGGGAGCGCAGAAGGAAGCAGTCAAGGCTGGCTTGGAGCACTGGGAGTGTGGAAAAGAGAGAGAATTCTGTTTATTTCTAGGAGGAATGGAAGCCAAATGCTAACCGAGTGTGGAGTGCAGAGATCTGACAAAGGCACTAGGTTGGTGAACCCAAATATTATTTTGTTCTAGTTTAACCCCTAAGAGAGAGGGAATCTGATGTTAGTTAGCGCTCAGACGAGCTAGGCTTTTGTTTATAGGGATTTGTGTTATTGTTGTTGTTTTTTTTATTTGCTGCTGTCTCCTGTGTGGACTTATAAATAAAACTGCCTGGATTATATGCAAACCAAAGGACTGTGTCTGTTGTTTAACCTAGAGGACCGTGCTACCTGCAGACAAGGATCACAATATATATATATTTTTTTCTTTAATTTTTCAAAAATGGTAAATAAATAGAGTAGAACAGTAGTAAATACTTATGGGAGCTAGTGTAGTGAATAGCAGGGCAAAACAAAGCTTCTAACTATATTAAAATGAATAGAAAAGTGGGTCACGTGACCACGCGCTAAGCATGGTGGGATATGTAGTTGCGTCAGAAGTCTGGTCCCTGCTAGGTGAAAAGTATTAGAGGGAGGACATTTTAGATCAAGGTCTAAAAGTGAGGAAATAAAAAGGAAATGGAATTATCTACACATGGCCCCGGCCATGTTTTTGGAGTCTAAGTAAAGATAACAAATGGACATGTGCTGCAAATAGAAGGTCCCCTGTTTGTTGTATGATCCCCCTCCTTTCCAGTACCTCCCCATTACATATTCACCTGCCTCCCCGGGGGTGTTCTATATTTAAAGTCAGTTTCATTGGAGTTGCCCTGTTGGCTTCCGTAAAGTCATCCTGTATAGTAAGGACTTTTTTTGTCCACTCTGTTAAGGGCACTCTGTGGTTTGTAACCCCATGCTTGTCATGTGTTCCAACCCGCCGCCTTCCAGGAACTACAGTCATGTCCCCAATAGTCATCTTTCACACATATATATGGGTCCTTCTTGTGGGGTATGTCTTTATATACTGTTGATAGCAATGACTGTGGGAATGCACAATTGACAATATCACAGTAATCAAATGCAAAGGTAGCTAAATGTGTGTTAGAAGAATTGTACCAAAATGTGTAAACATGATTCTATTTAGTAATAGCAACTTGTTGGGCCTCTATTAGGCCTGGCAGCAAAAAGAGTTACAGGAAGCTCATGACTCAGCGGGATCTGCTTCCTCTGGAGCTGGAACTTTCTTGCAGTTAGAGGCGTGTATCCAACTGTTCTTCCCGGCCAGTTTAACTGAGGTAGACGTTGTTAAGAGGACTTGGAAGGGACCATCATATCTTGGCTCAAGAGTGTGTTTTCTCAGGAATTTCTTTACCAGAACCCAATCACCAGGAAGCAACTTGTGGGTGCCCGTATCAGATTCTGGATCTGGAATGGAAGAAAACACCTGTGCATGGATTTTGGTTAAGGCTTGAGAAAGAGCAGTTACATAGTTAACCATTGCATCTGATTGAAGTTGGAGCTGCTGAGGAAAATAACAGCCTATTTTTGGATAGGAGCTGAACCAAACAAAATCTCATATGGGGACAGGCCAAATTTCCCTCTTGGTGTGTACCTTACACTAAACAGAGCTATAGGGGGACTCTCTTGCCAGGGCAAATTAATTACTTGGGACATCTTAAGCATTCTGGCTTTTAAGGTGCCATTCATGCATTCTACCTTACCACTACTCTGTGGGTGATAGGGCGTGTGGAATGCAAGGGTCACCCCCAGTGCTGCCCAGAGCTCTATGGTTAACAGTGCAGTGAAGGACGTGCCTTGGTCACTTTCTATTACTTAAGGAACTCCATATCTGAAGACAATTTCGGTGGATTTTGATCCGTAGGATCACATATTCACATATTTCTGTGTGGTATTGAGGGTAACCAGTTGTCTTGCAGTTCACAGTTCGCTTGGTGACACCTTCTGCTGAAAGCTGGTCTTGGTCTGCAGTGCTCCATGTTTTAGCCAAAGGGCCATGTTCCTTCCACGAGATTTCTGGAGATTTGGTGAAGGAAACATGAGGAACAGCCACCTCCCAGTGATGGTACATATGTTGTACTTCCAGAGGTAGGCAGATCAAGGCCACACAGTTGCCCTTAGAATCACAAAACAGGTCTGTCATGATGAGACGTACTTCTACCAGCTTGAACAGCTCTTCCTCATAGTGTGGATCTGGTCCTGGGGTATTTCTGAACCACAGGGTACAATGCAGGAAAGGCTGTGGCTGTTCATCTTGTGGAACTGTGGGTTTCTGTATCTGTAGTTCAAAAAGGATGTCAGGATCTATATCAAGGCTGTACCAATAGTGTGGTGTTTCCCCCCCCCACCCCCCCCCCGGGAAGTGGCAGAAGAGTGGCCGGGTTGAGAGAGTAACACCTTTGCAATGTGACATTGTTAGGCAGAAGTGGAGCTGTCTGCAGACCGAAATGTCTTTGAGAAGTGAGGTGCTTTGGCTGGACTTGATTGAGAATAGCTGTGTTATCATGGTGCAAGAATGGTAAGCTTGTGACCAAGAATTAGGTCATTTGTCTTGTCCAGGAGAGCACTGGCTGCAAAGACTGCTCGGAGACAGGAGTGTCCTCCTCTGGCCACTGGATTAAGCTGGCATGAGTAGTAGCCAATAGGACGTTGGCATTAGCCATGAGACTTTGTGAGAACACCAGATGCATGTCCCATTCTTTCTGAGACAAAGAGCTTGAAAGGCTTCTGGTAATTAGGCAGGCCCAATGCAGGGGCAGAGGCAATGGCACGTTGCAAATCAAAGAAGCTGTTGAGAGCCTCAGGAGATAGAGAGAAAGGTTCAGTCTTCAGGGCATCATAGAGAGGCTGTGAAAGAGTGGAGGCTTCAGGTATCCAAGCTCTGCAGTAAGAGATGAGACCCAGGAAAGCATGAAGGGGCTTGTGAGCTGTTGGAGGACAGATGGATGTGATTCCTCGCACTCTGTCCCGGGTTCGATGACGGGTGTCATGGGAAAGACAATGTCCCAAGAAGACCACAGAGGGCCGGCACCATTGGAGTTTCTTTTTGGAGACCTTGCAGCCTTGTTCAGCCAGGAAGCAGAGTAGGTCTTCTGAAGTATGCTCAGCAGTTGGGAGGTCATCTGCGCAGAGGAGGTCATCCACATATTGAAGAAGAACCAC